TTATTTTCAACCACGCATTCTTCAGTAAAATAATATTTTTCATCACATCAATAACTTTTCATTCTTTTTCAACCAGACATTCTCCATCACTCTATTATACCAAAATACATTCTTTCAAAATAATATTCATCAAACATACCCTTAAATAATAAGATATTCTACACGTAAATTCAAACATTTTTTTTCTATATTTTAACCACACATTCTCTTAAAAATTGCTATTTAATATTTTATTATTCCAACATAATGATTGTCAACAGGGGCATATTTTGTTTTTTCAAAAAAGAGGAGGGACGAAAAGGAATTTTATAAGCGCGAAAAGCCAGGCTTTTTGGATCCCATCATCATACACATTCCTTGCACTATACACCAGTAAAGGCTTACATAGCACGCTTATTCGCTATTCTCTTCGTAAAATCACACGTCAAGAGTGTGTTTGTGACACATTCTTTTGAAAGAATGTATTATTAAATAGTAGACTGATGGAGAATGTGTGGTTAAAAATGAAAGAAAACTTATTGATATGATGGAAAATATTATTTTATTGAAGAATGTGTGGTTAAAAATGAGTAGAAGAATAAGAATGAAAAAAATAATGTGTACCAAACAGGGTCCAAATAAATTAAGATCTAAAAGACCCACACGATAAGCCGTATACCTCAGACCACTAGATCCTCCCCAAAATTCCCCAACCCGCGCAAATTTTGAATCTCCACCCACCCCCTTTTCATCACTTCTAGAAATTCCAAAATTCATTTATACATACAGGAATCAGGCAATGAGAAACTAGAGAGAGAGAGAGAGAGAGAGAGAGTTGATGAAGAGAAAAACCCTAAGGAGGAGCAGCAGGAACAGTAATAACACGAATTTGAAAAAGAATTGCGGCATAATAATGAAGGGTTCATTAGCTAATCACTTTACGGTTCAGCTAGATCAAGTTTCTCTCAATTTGTCTCTTCAGCAAAAATCCTCTCAACTGCAGAATCTTCTTGATTCCGAAGCTAATCCCTCAGCTGCTGAGTCTCTGTCACATGATATCGATGCCGGTGACAAAGATTTCATCCTCAGTCAAGATTTCTTCTGGTGAAACTTTGAATTCTGGATTTTAACTAGTAAATGAAATAGGGTTACTAATGTTTTTCTTTTAATTAGCAATTTTTTCAATGCAGTACTCCTGATTATATTACTCCTGAAATGCCGTCTATGCCAATCAATGTAGACTGGAATAAGGTACGATGATGAGCAGGGATTGGGATTTGGGTAAAATCTTGTTCAAAATTTTATCTGCTCAATATATTGGGAATTTGTTTGCAGGAAAATGTTCATTGTCCGGATTCACCAGAAAAAATTAAAACTGTGAGGAGCAAAAGGCCAAAACTTGGTAAGAGTATCTGACTACTGTTTTTACATTTGATTAAGTTGCGTGCTCAATATGCCAAAAGGTTAGATTTTCCAAGGACTATAGATGGGCCCCTTGATGAAACATTTACAATTTCTCTCAATTGCCTGTTCAATTATATTTGCAATATGCTGAAGGCATTGATCTTATCTTTTCTTCAACGCTGAAGGCATCTGTGATGATTGAAAGGGTTCACATTTTTGCACATACAAAGAAAAAACAATGAACATCCAGGGGAAAAGGGATAAATTTGACCAACTTTTCATTGGGATGTTTGCAGAGGATTTAAAGGCATTAGAACTGAGTTATACCCCTTAAAAAAATATATGAAAAATAAAATAAAATTTGAATCTAATGCTGTGACATCACGAGTTAAAAAATTGTCAATACAACTAAAAACCTAACACTTATTTATAATTGAACTCGATATCAAAAACATTATTTTGTGGGACCACACGATCCTTTATTGTGACACCAACATCATCTTTATTTCTACTGTGACTAATAGGATGTTCTATAACGAAACACAATCAAGAGAGAAGGAGAAGTGTATAGATTTCCAACTTCTGCTCCAAAGTTTAATTTGGGATCCAACCCCTCTTAGTTTCATCAACATAAACTATGCAATAAAAAAATAATATACACCAAGGGACCTCATCGTTAACATGTCTCGGAAGTTAATTTATGAGTAAAATGAAAATATAAGGCCTTAGGATGCAACTTTGATACAAGCCAGTACAATAAGAAACTCTATATTAATAATCCCAGTAGGACTCGATTTATAGCCATATTTGGAAGCTTTATTTGGCTTCCATATGACATCAGAGTCTAATTTGCTTCTACAATTAATTTTTTCATTATATGGTGCAGACTTCATGCTTAGTGTCATTGTCTTNGCTTTGTGTTAGTTCTCTCTTCCTCAAGTGTATAGATTTCCAACTTCTACTCCAAAGTTTAATTTGGGATCCAACCCCTCTTAGTTTCATTAACATATACTATGCAATAAAAAAATAACATACACCAAGGGACCTCATCGTTAACATGTCTCGGAAGTTAATTTATGAGTAAAATGAAAATATAAGGCCTTACGATGCAACTTTGATACAAACCAGTACAATAAGAAACTCTATATTTATAATCCCAGTAGGACTCGATTTATAGCCATATTTGGAAGCTTTATTTGGCTTCCATATGACATCAGAGTCTAATTTGCTTCTACAATTAATTTTTTCATTATACGGTGCAGACTTCATGCTTAGTGTCATTGTCTTGTATAGAAGTGCTATAGGTAAATGCTTAGGCTGGCTAGTACATGGTTTGTGGAATAAAATCTAGGATAACTACTTTGTGCATATAATGCCAAGTTTACGTCCTAATCTAGCTACAAGCACTCTTGCAATG